ATAGTCAAGCCTTGGGTTTGACGATACTATTGCCGATATTGGAAAACCATGACTATATAGTATCGTGAACAGCCCTAATATCCATAGGTTCTAGGCTTCTCGACATTCTCAGAAGTGTTCCATGAATTCCTCATAGGAGTACACTTTGTCTCGTAGAGCACAAGCATTAGACTGAACCCTTGATGACCGCAAAGCCCTTTCTAGAGCAATTTGGCAACCACTGCAGCATATCCCATTCTGTATGCCACCGCTTTCAATATTGAGATAGGATAGAGCGGTAGTCACCATATAACGTAGTAGTGCTTTTTCCTTTGACTGTGTCACTCGTGCCGCCTCATTTGCTTCACGCAAGGACAATCTGCTAATAAATTCTGCCGGCATGATTTGGGTTCTTTTCTTCCGCACAATCTCGTCCATTGAATATGTGCAGGCAATAACCTTACCGTAGGCACTAAGCTGTATACGCAACCCGGGCTCGACTTGACGCGTTTTTTCATAACAGATAATGGTAAGACGGAGGGAAGAGAATCTTCCCGAATGCAAGAGAAACAACACCTCGTAAACGACAGAAGAAATATAAAGCCACCAAAGGAGCCGCAGAAATGGCAGTCTCTCGTACAGAGCACTTTGAACAAGTCAGAGAGTGTGAACCAAGACGCAATTTTGGTCTTTAGTATAACAAAGAGACTCTATGCGTCGACTATTGCACAATCGTAGACAAAAGGTGTCATTTGTAAAGTACAGGTCGATTGCGAACTCATTTCGGTTTCGAAAACAAATTGGTGACAGCTTCTAACCGTACAGGACAAATACCAGTCTGGATCAATTTTCTCTCCCGCACTAACCATAAACTTTCTGGAGCGTTTTTGCAGTACAGTCGCGCGACCTAAAGCGAATGTGACCAAGCGCCCCTATGTCTGTCACTTAAGGGAGAAATTCAAGGCTTTTAGCGGCAAGATTCTGATGTCCCGCCCGAGACCAATCGCTTCCAAATAGCCTTTTGCCTCCGTTTTGCTCTGCCTCTTTTGTTCCTCTTACGTACCGTCAACTCTCTTGAGGGCGAAGAGACTTGGATGGGACTCTGCCGATCTGCAAAACCGGTATCTTCTTCCGAAAAACAAAAATGAGCATCCGGCTGTGAGATGGAGATTGCACTCGATCGCTCTGGGATCTCAGTGGGCATATTGAAATAGTCATCTGGTCTTTCAAGTGCCAAACGGCTTTCGGACCGAGGGCTTCTGATCAAAGTTCGATCCGCTTGCACCACGATATTAGGGTCGTTTCTTCGTCCTTCACGTGAATATATATCGTTATCCACCGATTCTGTGCGTTGAGTAGCCGACGGAATCGTGGTATTGGAGGCTTCGACATATGGGGTATCATTCAGTGTGGCATGGAGTGCGCCAGATCTTTCAGAAAGTCTATTGTATAGACTACCAAAGCTCTCAACACCTACCAGATACTCCGTTAGATGTTACATTCGAGGACATTGAGTGGCTTATTGATCTTACCCTGTAGAGCAAACTTGTGCCACAGACATGCTTCTGCTGTTAATTGTTTGATGACTTCCAACTCTTTTTGAACGTACTCCGTTGTTGGCAATAAATCAATAAACTTTTGGAGGACACCACTATTGAGCATCTGATATACAAATTCTGATACTTGAACCAGGTGTCCTTGGATTTTGCAGCAATACACGCCATTTCCATTTCTTCGCAGCATATCGGGCTGAAGCTGGCGTACGAGGCTGACCCATTTAAAATTATTGACGCGCTCATTGCTGTTTAGTTTAGACAACGTAATATCGGGGGCTAGGAGAGTGTTGAGCCTTTTTTCCACGTAGTCGTCAAATATATCCATTCCGTGGAACCCTGCGAGGCTTTCTCCTCTATCCAGAACAGCGAGGTAGGTATCACAGAGGTCAAGGTATCGCAACAAGGTCCTCGGTGAACCCAGCCCTTCAAGACCGCGGCTCTCTTCGCGAATGAGATCCATCAAAGAAAGCCACCGATAGAGCCCAGAAAGATATGCAGGTATTATTCGGAAATGTAAGAGATGGGAAGGAGTCGTTACATGCAAAATGAAGGTGTGTACAGGCTAGCTTTGGGGTAGGCATGCTCAGCTATAAAAACGTCAAGGCCTTCTGATACTGGTGGCCATTCAAGCAGACGGTTAGCTTAGATCGATAGCGCGCACACGCGGTGACCCACAAATACTTTTAAAGATAGATAGGTAGTTAAACAGAGAAAGAAGGGAGAGTGGGAAATTAAATGAAAATAGTGTTTAGCAATTCTCACTAGTATTGACTAGAACCTGAGCAGACTTATTCCGTTTACAGTATTACGAAATGATGTAAAAAGATCATTCTGTTTACCAAATGCAACTGTTTTTAGAACTTTACGCGCATAGATAATCTAGAGCATTCACGCTGACGAAAGATGTTACATGCGCTGATTCTAATATCTGTTCAGCCAGAGTTTGTAGTGACCGACCATTTAGGATTAGGCAATTATATTGCACTTGCATATCAGCATTCAATCGCGAATCATACAAGAGTTAGTTTTGGTTCGCCTAAATGAGGCGAGACGAGCGCGCTGAAAATACTAACTCTGCTCTCGAAGCAGTGAAAAGACGTTGACCAACATTACGAGAAACTTGCCGACCAACGGTTGAGCAAGATGTTCAGAGAGACGAGTTCACATACTGCTTCTCCTAGGCCGGCCCACATAACATCTAACAGATTACTCCAATAATTTAGTGTGAATTCAACCATAGTGTTGAACAATGCAGCAGAAAATGATTTATCTTTTCGCCAGTGACTATCCCAATTTTTACCAGATATAGCTCCGTACGCTTGAATGTGGTGGGGGCCTTTCTAATTAATTATATTTTTCACTATTTTGCTCCGTTTTTTATGGAGACCCACCAGGGCCGGTCAAAGGATCCGCCCATGTCTGTTCAACAAGCGCTGAACAATTCTCAACGTTCAAGCGCCTTCGGTTGTTCGTCGAATTCCAAATGAACACTGACGAGAAAATAAATTGTATCCTGCTACATTGATAGACATTACGCTTAATTTGGACCATTTGAGCAAGTCCATAGGCCAGTTCCTCAGGGCGACGAAAGGCCGGCCCAACCTTGTGTGGTCACTCGTTCCCTCCGCAGTGTCCAACCGGTGTTGACAGTCAGTGTCTTTATCTTTCTTTGCATCTTTCTGATGCAAGACAGGGCTTTGATGTCGGGCTTAATTTTAACTAGCTATAGTCTTAATAATTAGTTCTGGCCCCAACCCAACGCTGAGCAATTATTGAGTCAATACGGCGTGATTAACACGACACCCAAAACGGTCTGTAGAAGATTAGGAGGGTTCTTGGCAACTTACTAATGAACTCAAATAAGAACTAGTATTAGGCATGCGGCGAAGGCGGTGGGTGGTCGGGTCTGCCACGGGTAAGCTAGGTTGTGAAGCTAGTCCCGATCGGGTAGTTAGGTCATAGGGTATCGTGAAGGAAGGTCTTCGGAGGCTGGTCACAGTCCGTGACACATTCCGTCTTTCGGGTTGCGTGAGGTGATGCGATTGGTCAGTATCCGGTTTAAGTCAACGCTTGGGCATGGGCTTAGGATCGGGCGGCTTTGATGCAGGCTTCGGTACAGACTCCTCCTATTCTAAGTTGGTGCGACACTTTTGCATTTTCCCTCCCTCCTTTTTGGTTCCTATTACTTCTGGAGAAGGAACTTGCTCTCCATGGAGCGAAATGAAGGAGAAAGCTCTGCTGAAGCAAAGGAATGCACAGTTACTTCCTTCTCATTGGCACCGACCGTGGAGGTGAACAAGGGGGAATATAGATAATTAAACGCGTTAGGTTCGGACTATCAGTATGTATGACAAGGCATATTTTGGATAAGATGACTCTGGTATTAAACCCACTTTCTATTGGGAGTATCATATAAAAGTGAGATCTAGGTCAACGTTCATGATATTTATAATTTCTATGCATAACTCATTCACGACCGACACATACTCATCCAGAAGCAGTTATAGACAGACCTGTAGAGTTCCGATAATTATGTTTTCTATGGTTCACCGGCTTTAACGTGTCAGGCCGTGATTCTCCCTAGGAATAATATTAAGATGGCATGCCTAAACAGACATTTATTTATGTATCTGGCGCTATGTTTCGGAAATCTAAGCATGGGGAGGAAAACTATTGACAGGTTCGTGGTTCGTAGTGTTGTGGGATAACCTCACCAGACGCTAGTCCACATCTGGCAGGCGGTCAACACTGCGGCAGTAACCTAGTGATCACGGCCACGCGCTGGCCGTGACAAATATTATCTTTTAGTTGGTATAGATGCTGTTTTGGCTCTCGGTAACTAGGAAACATTTATACGTTACCTAAATATCTCCAAGGTTAAATCCTTATGTTTTTCAAGGGACTGTGTAGCACACACCTACATACTGTATCTCCTCTCATCCTATCTTTTGTATGAATAATGTATGTATTTTGTTAGATTCATAACGACTGGGTAAGTCAGATAGGCGAAATAACGCTAACCCACTCTGACGCGGACAGCTGCCACAAGCTCCCCTACTCGGGGACAGTCTCTGTGTAAGAGAATCGCGGTCTGAGCAGTCTGGCAGCGAGCATCCAAGGGCATAGCCGCGTAAGATTAAATCTGAAACAACCGGGATGTGTCTAGTTCCAGTGCAGCAAATGGCGTAGCGAGTCACTCATTACCGTTGCTGCCAACCCATAAGTCCTCAAACCAGTGTACCTGATGAATTGATTCAGAGCCGGCTCCCGACGAAAAGGAAACTCGTAACGTCGAGAAAAAGCACATATAGAAACATATTCCATCGAGGAACGCCCGAGAACGCCAGAACCCGGTGGAACGCGCTTATCCTTGCCTGGTGTGACGCGTTGCGCTGATAGGTCTATTGACGGGACCCAGAATCTCGTCGCGCATCCAGGGCCAATACACTTCCTCCGCATACTTGGAAGCTCTATGGACCAGGTCCATCAGTTTAAAGATCCCGTAATATGATCGTGTACTAGCGGCGACACTCTCAATTGGCCCATCAATGTACTGTAGGTGGACGTTAGGCGAATTCAGTGAATGACAGGGGGTGATACCACTGACTATTCTATCCTGACCTTCGAACAATCCCCTGAAGACAATATATAAGTGCCAGTCATGACCGATAACTGTCCAACCCACGGTCGGCAAAAGGGTAAAGTGCTCATTTCCCCTTTCCCCAAGGCTGCTTATTTGCAAAAGCTTTTCCAAACTTGCAGCAAGCCAAATAGAAAGCTGAGCAAGTGCTTCCACCTTGCCACCATTGGATTGCTTTACTTCAACTCCAGAAAAAATAGCGATACGCTTCGTGAATGGGTCGGTCGTTTGGCTGATAGTCGGATCCGGTGAAGCAATGGCGAAGTCATCGTATGTTGTCTTTACCCGCCGGTTACGGGCGGAAAAGGCGAATGCGTAATCGACCTTTCGACTGACTCGGCACTTGTGAGGTAATCGTGGGAGAAGAGAGGGGCTTATGGTTTGTGTTTGTCTGTCGGGCCGTCAACATGGCAACCATGTTCAATGCATCATCCAAATACTGACACGTTTTTTACTTGCAGGATGGGATGGTGCCTGATTCCCATCTTCAGGATCGGCTGTATCACCCCAGCGCCCCAAGCATTCTCGTCTTGGCCGTGTTCTTCACACTCTGCGGCTTCCTGGTAGATCTCAACCACGTCCCGCCAAAGTGCTTCGAGTTGTTCTGGGGTCCTCGAGTCAGCGTAATCGAACGCCACGTCCGGGATATCCATCGCCCCTTCCGGGTCGGCGGAGTGGATCTTGTCCTGCAGCACAACGAACGGCCGCGTTAGATGGTGTTCACGTGACGATAATAGCTAAACAATACCTTGAGCCCCACTGGTATCACTTTGAGCCCAAAATTTTCGCACAAACTTCTCCGCAGCGAAAGAGAGGTGTCAGGAAGAGGAATTTCCTTGGGTCGGGTACAGTGGATCGGTGGTATCGCGAGGGGAAGATCGTTCAGAAGATCTCGTGCTGGGCTCCTTTGACGCGACGGGCCAGATGAAGATTGAACGGAGGGATCAAATCTTGTGCGCTCCGTGAGTTGAGTCGAGAGACTCCTCGTTTCTAAGTCATTCGGCCTAGGTCGTTTTTGAGGTGTTGACGCACCACTCGGGGGCATCTTTCGCTTTCGGTATCGCCGCTGATCGCGATGGCGACCCTTGTGCGGAGGTGACGAAGGGGGGGTCGGGTTTTGCTGTACTTGGATCCTTTCGAGCCAAGTATATATGTCTTGACTTCTCATTTATGGAGTCCAATACAGTTGTGTGGTTTCCATAAGACATATGCCCATGGATCGGTGTCAATCTTCGGTAGCCATGGAAGTCGCGGGGGCTCCTACGTGTTGTCAAGGGTGATGTGATGTAACTAGGTCGGAGGCCGGGAACAACATTAGTCCGTCCGAGGCTCATATTTTGCAGAGGCCACAATCCTCTTCAAACATCTAAGCACTCAAGTATCCCTGTACTCTAGGCTACGTTTTAGATAGAGTATTACTCCATTCATTTGCATTCTCCTTATGACTTAGGCCTCGTACAGCTCGGACCGATCGAACTCCACCATTCCTCTGAGCTAGACCACTTCAAAGGGAACCGCCAATCCCGTGGTGGTAAGATTTGCCCAACAAAACTAGGTCACAGAGAACAACCAATTTCAGTTTAGATCGATGATATAGTCGTCTAGCTCAACTCCTGCGGAAGATAGCGGCAATCTTGGTAGAGTTGCGGGCGCATAATTTTTGGTGATATGAACTTGCGTGTGGCCATCGGGTCCTCAATATATAATTGCGCCGCCGATCCCCATCGGTTTCCACATGCTGCGGACTGAGTAACTCGGTATCCGACTCGCACCAGCTACTTCTAGATTTCCTTGGCTGCTTTGTCAACTCAGGGGCAAATCCCCGAGAGCCCCATCATGAACTGCGTGTTCTTGTACAAGAGTTCGTCCGCCCCGATCGAGGCCACGGGCCTCGCGGCGCCTCGCTGTTAAAGTAGGTCCTCAGCCCGTACGTCTGCCAGTCGAGCAGTGTCTGCATTGCCTCATACGTGTTCCAGATCATGAACCGCCGCGCCACCGCGCTCGATCTGCTCGGGGTAGTCTGCGTACTGCCAGCAGTGAGTGTGGTGATAAGGTTGCTCCGAACGGGCTACTAGGAACCGTGTACACGGCCGTGCCAAGGCCCTCGCTCGACGGGGACTCAATAGAGCGCCCCATGGCCATATTGTGGGCCATATTTTGGTCATGGGCGGAATTCATACATGACCGAGAAGACTACGCGAGGAGATTTATCTTGTCGTTAGACGGAACGGGACTCCTATTTTCCACGTCCATGCCCACGACGCGTTGGTCTGCTTCTGCCACGGACCGATAATCTGCCGCGCCGCCGGCTCCAGCCAGTCATCACCAATACAAAAATAGCTCCTTCTCGACGACAACACCATCTGCCTGCACCGTCCGCCACGATCGACGCCACTTATTCGTATTTTATGGGCAAAAAACGTCAACAGCTGCCACGGGTACATGTGCCACTGGATACTATCTTCGTCCATGTACGCCAACGATGAGTAGTAGCAGCTCTTTTGCTGCGTGCGAACCGCCCCCATTCAGATCGGCAACCCGTAGGGCTGACTCTTCCGCGACCTTGTATGTACCCCGACTCCCGAAGTACTATTGCCGCAGTAAGCCAGGTTAACCGGCACCGACAATTTCCACCAACGGAATAGAAATTCTCGGGGCTCAACCGCAGCCCAGTGAGATTAGGGTGCTATCGCATGCGTTTGCTAAACTCCCGAGGAGTCATATTTCCAGTGTGACTTGAGAGAGGTGCTCGTCTTGGCTCTGCTCGGTTTGTAGTTCTCGGCCGTTGACTAGTTTGTACTGTACGCCGCAGGGTCATTGCAATGCCCCGGAGTCCACTGGAGGCGAAACCTTATCCTATGCCTTTTATTTCCAAGGCTGCCTGTAACGTAGCGCTGATAATCCCCTGGCCTGATTTGTTGGACAGGGTTTGAATTGTTTGTATATCGCCGAGAATGATTTCTGGTTGTGATATGCCTGATTTTTCAATTTCCAAATGGCAACAACATCGAAGAATATTTTGGCTGCCCATCTGGTGCATATGAGTCGGACTCACCATGAGGACAATCGAAACGCGAAGAGCTGTGTAATTAGAAGCACAATTCACACTAGTCAAATTGATGCGGTAACATATTGTACAGCGCGCGTTGACCTAACAAATATAATGCTATAATATTTGTTGTTCGTCCACGGTCCGTAACTAACCGTGATCCCCGGGTGTGTGGACCGCCTTTGTACGGTTGGTTGCAAAAACAGGGTTACTCTTGAGCATCGTTCCTTGTTGCCAGAAGTATAATTTTATCCGAAAATGGCTAGTTCCATCTTCACGCAGTTGGCATTGCACATGATTGAGTGATTAGTGACTGTCAACTGTTCATGGCCCAGAATAGGATTCGGGTTGAAAACGTATAGAAAATTGAAAAAGAAAATATACATGCATATATATATATATATAATGTGCTTTTTAGCTATATTTGTGCGTTATATTGAATCAGTAGTTTATTTGTCCTTTAGATTGTCAAGGTTTCTTGACATCAAAATGTTATTTTTATATAGGTTACAGGGATGTTCCGCTCATTAGAGTCCGAGGATCATGTTATACTTCTCCTTCAAGCCCGATCAATATTCAGCGAGCTTTGTTCTGCCTGCAGACCAACTCCATTTGCTGTTTTAGTAAGGGGTGCGCGTCCTCCTTATCCAGAATGACCTCAACCATTATTAAGCCCTTGCCATCTTTCACATGGTTGTCCTCAAGAACCCTTTCAAGGTCTCCCCATGTCTTTACCTGCTTGGTAAACACAGGGTACTCCGTGGTATTTTCTGCTGCCCCAAAGTACCATGGAGTGTCCAGATAGCGCCACGGTTGGATATCGTTATAGTGCGCTTCCATTCCATTGATGTACCTAAAGACGAACTGTTAGTGAACAAAATCGTACAAGAAGTTGAGTAAATTTAGCAGACCCACCTCTCGATTGTATACCCATTATTATTGACGATGAACATGATCAGGTCAAGGCGATTCCGAATTATGTCACTGATGGCTTGGACAGTCATTTGGAAGCTGCCATCCCCTTCGAATAAAATTGTCCTTCCTTCCATTCGAACACCTTGCTCTATCATTTCTCGTTGAGCGAGTGCTGCGCCGCCAGATGCCCCTAACGCGTATCCGATGGATAACCAGAGAGCGGAGTTGATGATTGTAGTTTTGGGTGGAAGCGCAAAGTCACAACAACCTGCATAAGTTGTCCCAGTTTCTGCTATAATGGTATCTCCCGGACGGAAGAGTCGGGAGATAAAACGCCAGAACATGTCCTGCGTGATGCATGCCGTGTCAGCTGGGGTGTCCGGAAGAGCGGTTAAATTCAACTTTTTCAGATCGATGCATGACCCATTATAAGCCAACATGGCTGGACCAAGCTCAACCAGCTGAGAGAGAACCTCATGGAGAACACTCTTGACATTAACTTCCGAGTAGACCGCCCCGCGAATGCTGATTTCTGACTGATGTATTTCGATGGTGACGCTCCGGTTCGTAAGGGTGGTAAATCCATACGTGTTGGTATCGGCATCAAGTGGTGCTAATCGAATTACAAGATCACAATTGGCCACCCACTTCAGAAACTCCGGACTGCCAGCTGCACCTGCGTAAACGCCGCAGAAATTTGAATAACTTTCGTTCACTTTTCCCTTTCCAAAAGGCGTCGTGGCCGTTGGGAAGCCTGATAAGCGCACTAGCTCATCCGCCTCTTGCTCAAAGCCGTATTGAGACACCCATCCATCCAGGATAATCAACGGTTGTAAGGCTGATAAAACTGCTTGAACGAAACCCTTGACGGCTTGTTGTTCCCTCCCCCGGCTTTCGCTCGGCGGTAATGAGAAGTCGATCGCCGTCTTGAGGCGTGAGGCAGAGACAGATACCTTGACCATATCAGCCGGTAGTTCTATGTAGACTGGCCTGTTGTGCAACAAGCACTGACGTAAGGTGTCGTCAACTAAACGTGGGACCTGCGTAGGATCTCTTAGGTTCGCTTGGGCGCAAGTAAAATTTCGATATATAGATGCGTAAAGTCGGAGATTCCCGTCCCCCAGTGAGTGATGCAAGTTTGCGTTTTGATCCTGCAGGTGCGTCGGCGGCGTGCCGACAATGTGGACGATGGGCACTTTTTCTGCATACCCTCCTGCGATTGCGTTCAGAGCCGACAGTTCCCCCACCCCCCCAGTAGTCATCAGCGCAGATAGGCCCTTGATTCTTGCATAACCATCTGCAGCATATCCAGCATTGAGCTCATTGGAGTTTCCCACCCAATGTAGACCGGTTGCTTCAACGTAGTCTAATGCAGCGAGGTTGAAATCGCCAGGCACACCATGAATACTGCATACTCCCAGTTGGCGCAGCCTGTAGTAAATGTATTCCGCGACACAGATTTGTTCAGAAGCGGGAAGCAGATATGTACCCTGAGGAAGGGCAGACTTTGGTTTCTCTGGGATGCGTCCAAACTCCATTCTGAGAATAAAAGATAATAATAATGGAAGTGAAAGTTGTTCTTGTGCTGTCTTGAGGTGCCCAATACACCAGGGAGATTTTGCCCTCTTTACATATAGCAGATGTGGGTGACCTATCGAGTCTTGAAGGATCCATCTCCAAGCGAAGTGTACACACAAAGTCGAAACCAGTGCCACCCCTCCAGACCCTTCTCTTTGTTTTATCGAGTAGAGACTAGTCTGTAAATAGGAAGATTTGGATTTTAAGCCAATCATATTTATTTGCCAAGCCTTTTATCAGGCGCTTTACCCTCTTTGTACTGCGGAGAACAAAAGAGACTAAACTCGGGGTGACACTGGTTTCGCAACCGAGTATAATACTAAAGCCTTAGCGCATTTTTAAAAGCAGTTGGTTGAAATTCATTCAACACAACCCAAATGTCTCTTTGTACAATTTGTTCTTTGTACGTTTGTACCATTCTGTTTCCTCCCAGGTTCTTAGCCATTCTGGTCACGTTGGAACATGATCAGCTGATACTAGGATAATGTCGTTACTTTTGGATGGCTCGTAATCCATTAGTGATGTTCCACTTCATATGTCGTTGTAGGGAGCTATATTCGGTAATTACTGAGTTAAACAGCATGCTTTAACTACGTTTTAACTGAAAGCAAAGCTACCTATTATACTTATCGGACAATATCATTTCGTTAAGATTACTTGGCCGTTTTGCATAGAAGCCCCAATGCACGCTAACCTATGTACCAATATTTCTTTTAGGGCCAAGTTTTTTTGTTCAACCAATAGAGGGCCTGAAGAAGTTGGGAGAAGATGGTAAGAGGCCTTGAACTTTTATCGACATGATCCATGGAACATTCTTAGGGGTGGGGTTATAGGAACCGCGCTCGAAAACAAGTTGAACATATGCCACCTGTTTCTCAATTTGTCTAATCGAAATATGGGTACGTCCAGACATCGTGCGCTGTTAGTCAACCCGTTAGTGAAAAGCCTCTTGTCCGCCGTTCAGCTCTCAGTGGCAGCTATATATACTGTCCTCCCTCGAGACTCTTTCAGTTGGCATATTGCTCCTTTGTTATCTTTACCTTAAGTAATCACCCTCAGGCCGATCACATATCTTGGTGACGTACAAATATTGCGGCACATTTGCATCATGGCCAAACTTCAGTCGAATATTTACGACAACTTGTCCCTCATCCTCGTTCACACGTTCGGAAGTGCCTATTTTATTTCCCAGTTCATCTATCAATCTTTAATGCAGACCCAACGGAATATCTCAGATGAACTTGTCGTATTAAGTTTCCTTCTGGCTACGATTTCCTTCTCCTTTCTCTGCATACGAGCCCACACTACTCAGCAGCAACGAGGTTTAGAACAGGCAGGAACAGTTCTCCTGGTCGCTGTCTCAACCATCTCGTTCGTCTACTTTCAATTTTATTTCGACACATGGATACTCAGTATCTACGCGGCGATGTATACACTGGCCGCAAGGCTATGCATATCTCGTTGTTTGCAAGCTAGGGCAGACTTCCCTCCAACGTGCATCATGTACGGGATGCTCGCTCTGGTACCTGTATTGCATACAGCATTCTGGCCGTCTACTTGTCGACTGCCAATGATCGCTTCTTTCCTTGCCTACTTCTCCTTAAATACGGTTTCTGGCTTGGGCTATATGTTCCAGATTCCCCAAAGGCTTGACAAACTCGGATGCACTTCTATTAGTAAAACTACCATGCATGCGCTTGTTATCATTGCTTCTATAGTATTGTGGCAGAAACTGTCTACGGCAGGTGTGTCTGATGCTGTCCAGGATGCGGATAGGTGCAAAGAACTGGCTTGGTGATTCCACAGCCTGTCGTCCACATGGGCGAACCGGGCAGAGAAGTCTTCTACGCGATTGATGTTGTCCGTTTCTTGAATACCCAGATTTCGACCGAGATGTCAGGTGCAAATTTACTTATTGATATGCTCATTTACCTTGCCCCCCTCACCTTAGTGGATATGCGTGCATCCTTCTCATGTACAAACTCATATTTGCACATTTACGTGAGTTGTGTTACAGTTTCCCAGTTTCCCAGTGAACTTTTTTTTTTTTTTTTTTTTTTTTTCCGCGTTGAACCACTGGCTCGTGGCTGCGAACCTAGAGGATGTTTCTACGGATGTCAGCATTGCATGGGACCTGAGGATTTTTTAATGTTCTCGTATTTGTTAGTAGTAGCTCATTAATCCCAGATAAAAGGAGTTGTCCTGATTTCCCTGCCCATTTTCCTTGGTTTTCGCCGCCGTAGGACTCATAATTTGTGGCAAACAACAACGTGGATCACAGCCAAATTCTTCTGTCCAAACAAACCATCTTCTGACCCGCGCACTTCTGTATTGCATAGTAAGCAGCCCTTCTCGAAATTACATGCATCTCAACCACGACATTTTTACTGGAGGATAAGTCTCATTATTCACATAAGTATACTCTCATTAAGGTATTACGGTCTCGATTAGTCGTAAAGTTTTAAATTACAATTCGGTACAAACATGCTAGTACGAAGATGGATGACAAACCCGAAAGTGAAGCTGCTGCAGCGGATAAGATAACCTGAAAGGATTGCCTAGAACAGAGTTGTGATATTTGCCAAAGGTGTCGGTGGCCAAGGCCTGCGCAAACATTTCTGAGGCGACGGGCGTGTCAGTACAGAACAGAATGGTGGCAAGGCACGGGCCTTTATGATTCCCCTCATGTTTTTGCAGGCCGGGGCCCAAAAAAATCAGGGTTTTATACATTACCCGCACATGAACTTGTGAGGAGGTTAAGTAATAAGGTTGCGGAGTCATCTTATCTATATATGGAGGAATGCTAATGTTGAAAACCTACTTCTACTTCACAGAGACATAACGGGAAGATCCGAGATTGAGCACAAAGGCAACCGGAAAACAGCAGGCGAAACTGAATTTCGGTACGGACGGGCATTTGAGCAGTGCGGGTAGTCGTACTCGTAGAGAAAAGATCCACGGAAAGTTACTCAGGATCGTTTAAAATGAATGTCCGCGGGGTGATCGCAACAATGTGCGTTATCTGGGCGGGAGCTCATGGACAGAAGTTTCTATCGAGTTGTGACGGAGTTGTGATGGGCGAAGACTACTTCCTTCATGGAAAATGCGAGAAAGCTACGAGCGACAAGGAGATGGTGGGAACGAAGTTGGCACTTGGAGATTGCGTGAGCCACTCAGGTGGATACATTTACGGTCAGAAAACGTTGAAACCATCCAACGAACCCCACTTGTAGTTGAAAAAAACTAAAGTCTATGTATTAGCACTGGATCGAAGAGCATAAAGAGTTGTGAGAATTGCAAATACGAAGATGGAATATTGGAATGTTCATGTGACAAAGGTAAGGATGGGTACGCACTCGGGGAGGAGAAATATCAGTTGAGTCAGCTTGATCTAGGTCAGTCACTATGCAAGGAAGACAATGCGAAAATGATAACGAAAAGCTAATGAGGAAAGGAGCAGACACGGTAATTAGCAACTATGACGGGAAACTTGTGTGCTGAAAGGTAACAAGCAGGCACAAGGACGGGACGGTGGAGGCTGCAAGCTAGTAGGTACTTGTACGGAAATGAAACGGAATGTATTTTAGTGTAAGCGGGTAGGTACTCTGTACACTGTGAAAGACTCCGCTGTCTGGCTGTGGCGCTAGTCCAGATGCAGTAGTCAGATAACCCACGATCATTATTTAGATAGCTTCTGGCAGCTTCATATTCATAAAATTCAAGCGATTCTGAACTATTGATCTCGGCCATAGAGCGCGTCCTTCATATCACTGTACAGTGTACCGGGGAGGATGGTGATGTAGGTTTAATCATTTGTCTAATGCATGTACAGCCTTACCGGGGCTTTCATTCTCAGATAGAAGTACTTTCGTTAGTCTCAGATAGTTTAGCCTCAGTATTTCAGAGTACGGGCCGGGGAGGCGGGAAACGTGACCTAGCCTGTTCCAATCGGCAATGCCGCCCCTTGTTCGGATGACCACGAGGGCTATCATGTCCAGTGAAAAATGTCCCTATCATGTGTGCCAATGTACAATGTTAAAGAAACTCATGTATATCCCAAAGCCTCCAAGACGAGCGCCTTGATATGTAGCCAGTAGACCAAAATCTGCACTCAAGAATTCTGCGTATTGTGGATGGATGGACGGATAATTAAATGAATTCATTCACCTCAACCCTTCGCCGAAGTTGGATTCTAAACCATAACCCACTAGGCTTGGAGCGGATTCGTATTTTAGTCTAGTGGGAAAAAACAACAGCCGAAGCGATATGCGGGCTACAACAACTATATATCATCGCATACGTAAATCTAGGTTGTACGACTTTCTGAAAACGAATTTAGAGCCCCACCAAGGCTTGCCGTGGCTTAATTGCCGCCGCTGTTTGTTAGACTGCCCTGTGACACCTCAGCAAAGTCTAGCACAGCTTCGACTGTCCTGGCCCACGACACGCTGTCTGTTTTACCTTTCTTATCTTCTTTTGAGCCTTCCAGCAGACTCAACACGCTGGCGGACGCATCCCAGATCTTCGCCCTTAAAATTTTTTCAGTCCACCAGGACAGGTGTGACCGTTTATTGGGCGCCGTATGCGCAATGGTTGACGTCCCAGAATCGATACGCCTGAGCGTTAGTGGATAGTCAACTATGGCCCGTGAGTAGTTGCATCTGTAAATATATATGCCAGAAGGTTCTGTGAAGTATTAATCCACGAGGAACGGATGCCTGCCATATCCATAACCTGTCACTAACTCCTCTGTCTCCTTTACACTTGAAATGGTAATGTTGGAACAATATTGTCAACCAGGCCAGAGAGGTGGAGTATCCTGACCTAATCCACATACCGCACAGCACCTTGCTTGGCCTAGACTTGGCCTACCATTCCAAATGACATACCAAGGGATCAGGAATGCATAGGTGTAAACAAGTGGAACTATAAATAGCTAGGCAGATTGTAGTTTAGAATTGACACTTTACCTTTACCCACCGAGCATATACCTACATTCAGTTGAATCGATAGGATATCTGCTTAGGGCAATGACCAAGTCAACCGACAATATCCCTTCTCTACCCTTTAGTTCCCCGTGCCGGAAATGGCCATTGCTAATCAATTTTCATAGTGGCTGATTATTAGGGTTCTCCGCGATTTCTCCTTGGCCTGCTTCAACATGTTCTCTTACCATGTTGTCAAGATAATCCTTCCAGATTCTGCTGACTGGAGGTGGCCGAGTAAGAGGTCGCTATGATCTGAGTAGCTGCTCCGTTGTCGTGGTATGTATGTGGCGGCGCAAACCGCAGTTGATGGATCATTGGAGGACGATATAAATCTTTGCGAAAGGAATAGTGTTCCCGCCGTCTCACCAAAATTGCCCGTTTCCTAAATAATATCCCATTCCTCAAGAGAATGGCCTGCTCGGTGCAGTATCGTTCAGGTTATCTGAGGGACGTTGTTTGGATTTGCTCTTAATCTCAACCAGAGTGAAGCCAGAATCAGGAAAAAGATGCTCCTTATCATCACTACTCTTAGTATGTAGCTGTCGTAAGAGCTCCCTAATAGAATAAATAGGTGGCTGTAATAATATTCGTGGTGCCCATCCAAAAGGCGGCTCTCCATTCTGGATCTGTTTTTGCGGGGGGCTGTGGTAGCCGAGGCTTGCGCCATTGAAAACGAACGCAAGACATTGTATTTCCTGGACAAGGAAGGGATAAATAGCAGGCTATAAGTCCTGCTCCCCGTTCAACAATGCTCTCAAATCATGTGCTCTCACAGGTTTATTACCGGCAGGCGTATATTTGTGGCATGTATTGTACAGAACTTAGAATATATTTTGCTCCTATAACTACGGTACGTTACTGTAAAACAAGAGAGGGTTGGCTCGGAATAACTCCCAGAGTGGCCTAGACATCTTCGCATAGGGGCTTGGGATAATGTAAGAGTGTAGGGTGGTGACACCGTTGTCCGGGATCACTATACCATCTCAAATTTGGGGGACAAAAGCAACTAGAGTAACCCACATTCTCCACTAAAATGACGGATGTAGTACTATTTCAACAGTTTCAGCTAACTGGTACTATTGTGCATGTTTGCCCCAATGGATACCCAAGTACTTGTTCATATACGTAAAATATTTGCTCTATAGATCGTGGGCCCGTTTAGACTGCGCGTAATTATCACTTGCCAGCCGATCAAGCCAGCCTGGGTACTATAATTCCATCCATGAAGCATATTCATATGTACTGGACCGTGAGATAACATTTTCTACGACATTCTCATCAATTCAGAAAACAACTCGAAATGCTTTTTATCAATCCAACACTCCACAAGGAACTGGCTTTTTTTGCCGTTGTCTGTATCGACTTCTCGTTCGTCAAGGACAACAATACCTTCTATCTCATCTTCATCATTCTGAATAAGTCAGTATTTATCTCAATTGAATGCAACGGCGTGAGACTTACAGAACTTGAGATTGACCCCTCGTCATAGGTCGATGCATCAGAGTTGAGAAGCTCGTACTCCATATAGTCTTCAATTCCAGAACAAAGAACACCTGTTTCGTAATCATTGGAGATAAATGCTTGGTCTGGCTCTAATTCCGAGTGTATAGACTCCGAATTCAGCTCTCTGTTTTCATTCTTCCCAGGTTCGATCATATTTCCTTTGTCCTTTGTGTGCTTGTCAACTGTCCAAGCGGAATGGTGTACCATAATGATGTTTTGTGTTGCGAAGATACTGGTATTAAACAAACCCGTATTCTAAACTTAGTCTGACCCAGCGTGTAGGAAAGCAATCTTTTATACCTCTTTCCTTGGGTCTGAAAAGCTTCCTTCGTGGGTTGAAGTTGGCTGACAACTTATTGGGAATCAGTAGGAGCTCTATATTGGTAGGGTTGCAAAAATTGTTGCCGGCACGTTTTTTACTATATTACCTCATTACTCTGACTTTGCGACTTACACCAACGGGACATAATACGTATCTGTTTGGAATATTATACGAGCTGAACTCGTACACTTAGAGACCCGCTCCCTCATATAAAGGGCAATCAGAAATTATTTATCGCGCTTTTAGTGTACACTTGTTTGCGAAAGCAATGTTACCCCCCAATCTTCTTTGTTGGTCGTTGAGGATGGAATCTAAGCCAAGTATGGCTAGCGGCAACCTTGGCACTCTGAATGCATGCAGATAATTGGCCGACTATTAAAAGTTCTAACTGTTTATGGTCTAGACCAGTGGTGTAATCAGCAAAAGAGTTGCTTGGGGATGACATTGCTTTCGCAAACAAGTGTATTATGAATGGGTATCCTCGAAGGCCCGTTAACAACTGCTTTTATGAGAGTCGTATCTGGCGTACATCGCAAAAGCGCGCTATCAATACATATGCGCGCCTCATCAATGGTTTCTTATTGCAGTAGGCTCATAGTACTATCACGCATGGATCTACGCATTCAAAGGACGAAGCTAGACACTTAGTCTGGGAAAAAATAAAAAGTTTTGAAGTAATGACAATATGCAGTATTCCAGAACGGCTGTATCATCGAAGACATCACCAAAGAATTCGAAAATAGATTCACACTGCTAGTTTCTACTCTTCGGCTGATGCAAAGAGCAAAGCTTAATTCTGGCACTATACGGCGGTCTTTAGCATGATGGTAGTTTGCAATCGGAACTGTAGATACACCAGTGTTTAATTGACACTACACGTGAGCGGCTCAGGAAACGTAGGATGTAATCCAGTTTTGACCGAGACGCCAATGCCAGAAACTTTACATATCTAAACAACGTGATATATTGCTTTGTTTTCTTCACCAAATTAGACGCAATTCTCAAGTTTTACTAAGCACTAGCTACTGGACCAGATCAGACTTATCAAAGAGTTCCGACAAATGCAGGTTCAGCGTATTAAGGGTCGGAAAAATCTTCTCTTTCATCTCCCGGAGCTTGAGATCTTGGGTCTCCGCAGAATGCTTCCATTGCAACATTTCTTGTCTTAGACCATCATGCTCCGTTTCCCACAACTGTTGAGTATCCAGCAGCTCCTGTTTTTGTTTCTCACGAAGAGTCTCATTATCAGAAATTGCCTCTTTTCTCTCTCGCTCTAGTCTCTGTATCGTGACCGTGAAATTGTCATTGAAAACCAAATCATGGTGTTCATCCTACAAAAATCGTAAGTTGGTAAAATCAGAGATAATGCCAAACCTGCTCATGGAGATGTTTACCTCTTGGTAGCTCTCTTCTTGCAAGCTTTTCGGAGACACTGCCTCTATCAAATTGCGGCTCTCCAGGGCCTCGCAGATCTTTTGGAAATCTCCAACGCTCCCACGGCTCAGGTTTGACTTGAAGTGGGGCTTCACGGGCTTAGCGACGGACCATCTGTAAGGATCTTCTTGGCGTGGCTGTAAGCGAACTTTTTCTGGTGGGACGTCAAGGCCGAGTTGCCTGTCTATAACATGTGTTAGTGCATTGATCAGTGAGTAGAATGTCACACAACGCTAGTAACAAGACATGAGACCGGTATAACTTCTATGACCCTGGCTTACTTTCAGGCGGCAACATGAGATTTAATGCGGCCTATGTTTGGGGCATAAGAGCTTGGGTAACTGAGGCAGCAATTCCTTTGTATGGATATTCAAAAAAGAATGAAGAACCTTACTTATGTGGTCTGCTAGCGCCTTCCGACACTTGTTTCTCCAGAAAGCTCGCTTCTGGTTACTTGACATAGTCATCCTGAACTTAGGATATTCGGTAAACGATCGTTGTAAAGTGTATGAAGAGGAACAAGATACTTGAAATTCGAATTAGAGTATATGGGATTATATATCTTTAGGCAATCCACAGGCAGTTCTTCTCCTTTTTGAGATACCCTACCTGAAGAACACATTTTTACGCATTGCTCGGGCCCCAGATAAGACAGTTCAATAATATGTGTTTTTGAGGGAAAGATTCAAGGTTTAATTATTGCCCACCATGTATTATTGAGGGGACCTGAGTGATTTATTAAGGGACTTTAAGCCCTCATTACTATAACCGTTCGCTCGTTTATACCCCCTAGACAGGTGGGTTCTTCAATGTGCTGAGCGGAACGTCGAAGTTGTTGGACCGAATTTTGAAGCAATTCGTTCATCTCGGTTTGGGGGGAGACGAGTTTATATCCCGCTATCTCTACATTCTAGTTATGCAGACATTGCCGATCGATCTACAGAGGTGCAGGATCAACGGTATTGGCATACATCTGTGAAGCTGTGAAATAATACATTCAGCGTTAAAACCAAAAAGGCTTCGTAGACCTACCGCCGCTAAGTTGTGGATTTTTTGCTTATGTATTATCTAACAAACGTACCCGTAGGTAAATTTCGGGGTGTGGGGAGGTTGGTGAGTAAAGAATAACATCTCACCTTATTCCCACAGACCATCAAGATTTGATGTGCGGTACTTATGGGTGGGTATAAGCCAAATAATTGACATCCAGGACATATTTTGCTGTATGCATTTTTCGAATTTCATATTCGTTTTGCATGAACTCGCTTTGAGAGGGACCATGAAACATTGCATTACACGCCAGCAAGTACCATATATATTCCAGGCAGACATGTAGTTTTCGTGAGTACAAGCCAATTGAGCCGAAATAAAGTTCAGTATTGACTATGCAACCACTTTTCATATATGCCTTCGGCTTAGTTGGATTAGCGGCGACCCTCTTCCTACTTCGACAGCGCTCGCGCCTTAGAGCTCTAAAAGAAACAATTGTTTGGTGTACCAAGAGATATCTTCTAAATGCAACAATCATATCACGTCATCGCTTCCTAGGACCATGGAGGCTCGGACCACTCATTCTATGTCTTGCTTTCATCGCAGTGAATGTGCTCTTCGTTTGGTATCCTGAAGGCACTGTCGCTAAAGCAGGCCGTCGATCTGGTTTCTTGGCATTAATAAACATGGCAGCTCTGTATGCCTCTCCAAGCTTGAGTATTCTTGCTCATATACTAGGCCTCAGTGTCCAAGGCTGTCGTCGATTCCATAGAGCGATATCCTGGATGACATGTGCGCTCGTGGGCTTTCATATGGCGCCATCTTTAGCCAGTGGAAACATTTACGGCACTGGAACAGAAGCTGGGATAATTGTCAGTAACCATGGTTTGGTTTACAACTAATATTTTGATTTCATTCGAAAATATCTCTTTGTTGCAAATACATAATGACGGTGTTGACATAGGCTTCCGCATTATTCTTACTGACAGTGATGCTGTCTCTCCCAATCGCACGCCGGTATATCTATCCCATCTATTATATTATCCACTATATCCTCGCAGCCCTAGTAATTTGTGGTATTTGGATGCACTTACCTCTAGGAGCCCAAAATTCATTTTACATCGTTTATGCTACTATTGGTACATTTGGTCTTGGATCAATGTTTTGGGCCTGTATGTTCTGCTATCACAATGGTGCTTTTACACCCTCCTGGACGAAAGCCAAGCTGGTGAGTCGCGAAGACGGCACGATAAGAGCTGAAATATATCCCGGACGACCAATAAAAGTGCTTCCAGGTCAATACGTGGACATTTGGACCCCTTCCATCAACCCTTGGTCGTGGTTCCAAGGTTCCTCTTTCATTGTTACTTCCTGGTCTGCTGAAAAGCAACGTACACTCCAACTTTATACAAGATCCTGTAGCAGACGGTTCGGGTTCACATGGTTACTGCTACAGCGTGCTCTCAGTCAAAAGCAGCACAATCACTTCTTCTTCAGCGGCCCACATGGTCGAAGCACACCCGCCCAACGTTATGAGACAGTTATTCTCATAGCAAGTGACAGTGGGATCCTGGCGATAAAACCTTACGTAGAGCAATTGTTTTACTGTGTGAAGGCGAGGACGTCGAAGACTCGGCGATTGCGTCTCGTATGGCAGATTTCGGGCCAGAACAGCGGACTCTGGCTCTTGGCTGACATGTGCAGATGGACTAACAGACTTTTGGAAGATGATATTGAAGATGACGCTAAAGTTCGCTCCTCAACCCAATGATTATTATTCAGCAAACTTGAGCGGCTAATGGTTTTCTAGATGCTGCAGATCACGATATACGACCCCAAAGGCCTATGGGCAATTGATCTAGGAGAGAATGGCGGGCGTGGCGTAGTTTCTCGAGAACCCGCCAATTTTCGCTCTATTTTGAAACACGAGGTTCGAAATCACCGAGAAAGGCTAGCAAATGATGTTGACAGGGAGAGCGGAGGGATGCTGGTGCTGGGTGAGTGAGATAGCATGGAATGATTTCACCATATTTTGACATACGGGCAGTATCTGCTTTTGACGAAGACCGCGAAGCTTTGAGAGAATCGGTCAAGCCAGACTCAAAGTACGTTCACACGGTGGAGCTCGATTATCAGCCGTCGAAAGTTGGTATCTGTAGCATTGGACTTGGCACTGAGAATAAGCCGCCTGCGGAGGACGGGGAGATATGGCAGGACGTGGATATCGAAGTGGAGAAGCTAGGGCGATCGTGGTCTGGAAGTACTCAGCAGTCAAAAGTTGGCACCAATAGCTTTGGGCTTGGCACAGAGAATAAGGCGCCTGCAAAGGACGAGGAATAGGGCAGGACATGGATATCGAAATGAAGAAGCTAGGGCGATTATAGTCAGGTATTACGCTGTGCGATTCTCAATCAAACCGTCTTTAGCGTCTTGCGTCCCATAGCGTCCTTGTGACTCTACTTTATTGTCTGTGGATCAATTAGTAACTGCATAGGCTTTTGGGTATACTTGACAGTAAAATTCCAGGTTTATAGAGTATTCTTGTACAAACCGGCGGAACAAATAACGCCGTGTAAGTATTTACTATATCTGTTTTCCAATCTTACGGTGTCAGCAAGGCACATTGAAATCAAAACCTCAGCCTTTCTATCGCTGTTACATAGACAACAGCTCGCTGCATGACTCAGCCTCTCATGACCGTTCTCTGGTACATCTTTCCTGGGGTACGCGATTTCCTAGGGGATGGATAGCAGTACGTTAACATTCCGAGGAAAGTTATCCTATTATAAGCTCTGCCATGGGCTAACTGTCATGTTACACTAAAGCTTTGATCATTTCCCGGGGACATCAGGCCTCTGGAAAGTCTCCTGGTCTGTACTAAATCCAGGGCTCTTATTCCTGGGGTAGGAGCTATTCCGGGAGAATCTTCCCCGCTGATTCTGCACACTAGGAACATTTACATGGGAGTTGAAATTGACTCAGGATTTTTTAGATCCTAGGAAAAGTGTCCTAGGTTACCTCCTAATATAGACAGCCCGGAATTGATTATCTTGCTTTTCGAGGTCGAATTGCGTTTGTGGCGTCCAGACGATGCTATTGTATTCCTGTAGCCTTACCGCATCAAGGGAGTTACAGTAGTTGCGGATCATAGGGGTCGTCCACCAATTATTCGCTACTTTGCTGGCGATGATACATAAAGCATCTCCGTTGGTGACCACTGCTTGGAATTCTCTGACCGCAATGCTAGAAACTGTATACGAGCCTGGACGATATTTCACTACCTTGGAAAGATATGTGAGCCCTTTGCCATGGAGGAGAGCAGCGAACCCGGAAACATATCGCTTCTGTATATCACAAGAAAATAGTTCCCATTTGTTGTGTTCCTGTGTAATCCAGAGCTTGAATTGGTGGCTGATTTGTAGGCGTTGACTTTCCCGTATCGGAATATCTTCCTGGATTTTGCGTTTCCGATCCGGAGCAGGTTGTCTCACATTTCCTTGACCAAGGATTTCTGAATCATTTGTTAACGGTGCTTCCGTTTCTTTTTTCCGTCCGCTTTGGTTATGTTCCACGTTTTCTTGCTCGTGTCCTTCTGAAACTTCCTGCATAGACTGCTTCGCCTGTCCTTGACATGTCGGTCCACGTTCCGAATCTTGACCAATCGAATCATCTTGAATTGCGGAGACATCCTCTGTACCAGAAATTGGCGCTTCACGGATCGGGCTGATACCGTTCTTATCACTCAAATCTTCTCCCGCTTCTCCTGTCTCATCTGCGAGACTCTCTTCATCCTGATGCATCTGCAGCCATTTTTCTTTCACATTCTTAGCAGCCTCCTCTGCCTGTCTGTATTTTTCCAGTGCTTGTTTCAATCTGTCCCTCCCCTGCTCTATAGTCTGAACCCCATACTCACCCGCTTGACCCAGGAGATTCGCCTCTTTCATCAAATTTTCTGCTGCCAGGTCGAATTTTTCACATGACTTTTCCGCTTCCTCGAATACAGCTTCCATTCCGTCCAAGTCAAACCGTAAGCGGGTGTCTGTCGTAGCTCTTGTCTCATCGAGAGCCTCACACTTGGCCGTTTCCGCCAGATCTACCTTGTGCTCAAGCACGTTTCTCACAGCATTAACCAGTGACGTCTCTGCTCTCGCGACTACTTTAAACACATTTTGTGCTCTCTCTTGTGCTTGGCTGAACAGCACGCAAACCTCAACGTTGTTTCCGAGACATTCACTTTTCTTCTGGGCCATTTGCCACGACGCGTCAGCTTCCAAGCAAGATACTTCTGCATTGGTCCTTTGTAGGTAAGCGTCGTCAAACGCTCGCGCACTTATCCCGGCGTCCAGAAATATTGTAAATGCATGATTCATATGGCTTCTTGCCTTTAAAGAAAACTGATAACTGGTCTTTGCATCACATCGTACGGCCGAAATCTGCTGATGGAGGCTGTCAAGCTCTTGCTGGAGGCTGTTAGAACTTCGATCTTGCCCCGTTCTTTCCCTCTCTTGTCTTTCCGACTGTGATGGCGACGGCAATGGCTCTTGTTCGATTCCACTGCCACCTAAATCTGGCTCTTTGGGGTTCGCTTGATTTGCTGATACCACATCTTCCTCCAGGCCTGCCGTGGCAGCTCTAAAGTTATGTTCTGTAGGGCTCTCTTTTCCTCCTTCGCTAATGGCCGCGTCAATTATTCTTTGCCAGCTATCCCGCTCTGCTGCAATCTCAAACTTGACATCAAGTTCACTTTTTCGCCGCTGAAGTGTCTGTAGGTCTGGAGTACTTTCCAGGTCTTTTTCCAACGAAGCCGCAAATTCCATATCCTCCGCTAGTTTTATTCTCTGCTGCTTCACTTCCGCCTCATAATGTCCTTTCCTGGCGCAGTCTCCCACCAATTGAAGGAGCGTTTCTGTTCTTCCAAGGTAGCTGCTTTGGCTGTCCAACTTTTGTCTGTACCGTGCTGATTCAGATTGTAGACATTCCTGTACGAACGAGCGATCTATCTCATTCACATTTAGTATCCCTCGATGAAGCTTAGAGTCCAATTGTGATAGCGTATTCTGAATTTTAATATGATCTTGCAAAATCCATTCCTCTTGATGAAGGACAGTGGATTCGCAAGACTGGTCGTTAGTAGATTCAAGGTTATCTTCAACCATGCAAAAGGATCGGAAAGGATCCTGGTACCCCTTGTTGATGTCTACCAGGTCGTTTGTAACCGTCTTAGCACGGTCCTGTTCCACTAAGTGTCTTCCATGAAAGGATTGGACTGTAGCATTCATGGGAGGCGAATCGGATGGGAGAAGCTTCGAACCTAGCCTCTCCAAATCGCCGTTTAAAGAGTCTAATTTGAGATAATGATATTTCGAAATATGTGAGATGTCGTTCGTCCCAAACGTGCGGGATAATATAGAAAGTATCTTGAGATTGTTCACCGAGATACGTTGGCACAATAAGTCCCGCCGGAGGTGGTCTAATCTTCCCTCTGCTTGTCTTAGCGTGGTTTCTTTGACAGCGTACAAAACTTGACTCCGCTGAAGTGTGCCAGTATGTTCCATCTCTGCAAGTCTGTGCATTACTGTGTCGGCTTCGTGCAAGGCGCGCTCATTCAAGTCTGCAAAGTGGTCATTGGATGGACCGCGGTCTATGTTTATCGCCATCGTTCTGTCCAGATCCTTTATTAGAGACGCACAAGTAGAGACACAATCCTCCAGAAACACCCTATGGACACTGAGCCCTTCCTTTTGCGTGGTGCATTTTTGAACAAGACTGATTCTCTTGGATTTTCCGGACAGCAGCAGCTCATCTGAATCTAATTGCACAGCGATTTCACTCAAGTCTTTTAACTGCTCCGTCGCTTGATGAAGGAATGTACCTGTTTGCACTTCCTGATGTTTAGCTATGCTGTTGAGTTCTTGCCAATTTTTCTTTTCTTGTTCAAGCAACCGTAATGATTCTTCGTTGGTTACTCTTCGTGCTGGTCCCGAAGTCGGAGCCTCACCGTCGCGGAGATCGTCAGTAGGCCTCTCTGGTGTGACTTCGGCCATTTCAATATCTTCAGAGGCATCGGATTGATCTGCAGAGCTGACGAACGGGCTGTCTGACTCTCTTTCGTTTGCTGCGCTCGGAGATTTTGCCGGAGCGGTCGAAGGCTGGGTTGTCTCCGGGTGAGACGACGATGGTTGGTTTTCCACGGTCTCTGGGGAACTGATCCTCACTGCTTCAGGTTGGGCATCTGAATTGGACGTATGTGGCTGGTCCTCCGACGCCCCGAAGTGTGATGAGGAAGTTCCTTCCGCGGTCGAAGGTCCAGTTTCATTTGCTGGGCTCGGAGAGTTCGCCGGAGCGGTCGAAGGCTCGGCTTCTTGCCGGCTGGTTTGTGGATTCGCGGGTCGCAGGGTTTCGTTCATGTTTGATGCCCTACTAGGAATTTGACCATCGTTTGTGGAAACCCCAGGAACATCAGTAGGTAGCTCTCCGAAAAATCTAATGTACTGACTTTGCAGTACCAAAAAGCTGGTTACCCTTTCTCGCCGCATAGGAGCCTGGTGCATGGTATCAAGAAAAAGCTTCTGGCAGTCCTCCCGCAAAGTGGTAGCGTGGGGGATGCCATATCGGTCCTCTTGCTTAGGATATCCCGACACCGCGATATTATGCTCGTGATGCTCAGTTTCCTGCCTGCTTAATGGGGGTGGCACGTCTCGTGAAATGAGACTATCTATTGAGTGAGATCTGAACCCTAGATCTAGAGCTAGGGTTGCAATTTGCTTGAGCGCAGACGTGCCGTCGTGTACTGCATTGGGGGTATTGCGCAACCGACTTCTTTTCCCACGCAGGCAGTGTCGGATTGTGGAAAGCCAGACCTGTCGGTAGCATATCTCAAAGCGCAGAGACCTATCATCACATCGAATTTGGCGATTAGTTTGTTCTGACGTCTGAATCCTGCAATACAGGCTTTGGCCCTCCTCCCCCTCCGCTCCGAACATGAAATTCATTGTCGAATAGATGGTACCACGCCGTGGCTTGGTAATTATCTTTTGCACCTGCGCAGCACATTTCTCAAGTATCAGGATGTCTTTGAAGAAAGTCAATAGAGTGGGAATTGTCCATTTGTACGTTCGTACCCGGTGCCAGGCTCGGTCGACATCCACCTGGCGAAATGCTTTAAAAATCGCTCTCCCTTCAAAAAGAACCCGAGCCGTTTCATGATCCTCAGAACTCGATCCAGGCGCCAAACCTTGTAAAGCCTTCACATCCTCGGCCTGAATTTGGCGCAGTAGACCTAGATCAAAATTGAACATACCTCCCCATAAATCCCATATTATGCCGAAGTAGCGGATGATGCTCTATAAAAGTAAACAAATGGCAAAAATAAGACTCGGGCGCCTCGCTTACCTCGTCGCAATGGGTTCCCTCGATTTTGTGCCATTTACCCCAGTAGATTCCATTCCAAAGAGCGGGAATCGCTCGGAGTCGATCCATGGCCGGGCGAATGTTGTCATTCCGCATCATTGCTCGGACTTTTTTCTCCTTTTTACCCGACAAACGAGACCACCACTTATTCTCCGATTCGTAATCGCCTAGTTCATGATATCGGCCGATGTGATAGTAAATTTCACCGTCACTATAGGCTACCTCGTTGGCATATTCTTCTCTCAGATCATCTTGTAACTCGGTTGATATCTCTGTAATTATCAGCAAGATGGACTTGTAAAGTCCGCGGCTGACGTACCAGGAGGATACAAATCAACCGCCCACCATTGATCACCCGGTGGAAGAAGCTCGCGTCCAAGCTCAACACGATACCTCCCTTGAAGTGATGTTATCTCTTTGTTCGGAAAATCCAGAACAGGCCATGCTGTTGGGTCAGGGTTCCGTAAAATCGATTCCTCTATGCCGGCATGCCGTAGTGCTTGAGCAAGGCTCTGGCGCGAAACAATAGCTTTTAAATGATTACGAGGTTTAAGCCTCTCGAGCTTTGCTTTGTGGAACTTTTCACGCAGGTAGTATAACTGCTGTTCATCCGGACGCCAGGGTGATTCTGCAAAATGGATTTGTGAAAGCTTAAGTCTTGCTGTACCAAGACATGTCTGGCGCCCTTCTGTTGTGAGTCGCCAATCTCGCCCACGGAACTGTGCCGTGTCCATTTTCAAAAAGATATTTTGTAGAATGTGATCGGAAACGTGAAAAGTGCATCGTAGGGAGTTATGAGACATATAGATCTCTCTTCTGCTGCTGGAATATATGACTACAAAGGTACGCATGAGAAAAAGGAGGGGCCTATGAAGTTGCAGGTCGCCCAAAAGTCCTTTACGGCTCACTAAATATGTTCAACTCCATTATTTTTCGACGAGTATATCCCATTCTATAATACCTTTATAAACGGACATTCCGGCTAAAAAATAAGAGTCAGAACTGATGCTACTTGAAGCCTGGTAAATCCTTGATAATTTGTCATGACTGGCAGGAATTAACTACTCACTACCTACCATGACGGATACATCGACTGACAAGCAACGACGAACCACCCGATTCAAACTAGTATTACCAGGTGAAGCGACTCATAGCCCCCGGCATGACACTATAGATACCCAACAGTCACTGGGTACTCGAGAGCAAAGCCCTCCATCAGCTCCTGCAATTCAAGGGAAGCACTTAAGAAAGGTAGAATCGGGAAGAGTAGCCAAATTCCAGAGTGATGGTCTGAAGCCCTTTCATCTCGTTCAAGGCTCGGCATCTAAGGTTCAGCCACGTTTGCTCAAGTACAAGTCCCCCTGGGACACGTTTGAGTGGGCCCTGGAATACACCGAGAGGGACGACAGGGTGACAGTCGTTCAAAACAAACTGAATAATGACCTAGTATTTGCCCTTCGGGAGTTTCCAGTCCGAGAGTTTGACCGTCTAGAACAGCGATTCAACAAGCTTAAACATGGCAACATTGTAACTGCCAAGGGCTTTTTCTTACTGGGAAGTTCGTGTTTTGTTCTTTCAGACATTCCAGATGTCTCTGTTTCCTTAATGAGGGTCATTGCTTGCCCAGCATTCCCGACTGAGCGGCAACTCGCTGGTATTATCGGCCAGGTATGGTCATCTCTTACTTCTTGCTACTATGGTCAGCAGCTGAGGATACCAGATCTTGAGGGCCATCATGTTTCTAATTTCCAAAGGCATCTGCCTAAAAGAGCTCAATTATTCCAGAATATATTTGGATGGAAACGGTCGCCTACAAATTGGTATGTTTGAAGAAAATATGTCAATATATTGAGCTGACCGTGAATGGTACGACTAGTTTGTTTTACCGACACCGAAATATGGCATGAGGATCGTCCACCAACAGCGGTTATTCATTCCTTGGGAACTCTCATGGTGGAACTAATGCAGAAAGTACCCAATCCAGGGGGCAACTTTGGTGTGAGAAACCTCAAACGCTGGCCACTAGATTCCAGAGCATCGGGCTTTCTTTTAAAGCTTTCATCGGCTGGCTCTCTCTTCCAACTGACCTCGGTATTTAGCAATAGATCTTTTGATGGTTGAGCCTACTAGCTAACCCACGATATAATAGGACGAATTCGTTAGCCCCAAATGTTGGAGCGCCGTGGATCTTAAGTCGCTTGTTCGGAAAACGATGGAAACCACTCTACCTCCTTGTAAACTCTATCAGGGTGAAGAGCTTGATTGAATATTCCAAACAATACTAAACAGTTCTATTTTGCTTGCCCCAGATCTCCTGAGCTTTGTTTACCTTCCGTTCCTGAGCTCTAAGCCTTTTGTTGGCCTTGTAGCAAGCCCCTAGGCTCACTCCAGAACAAATTTCTTTTTTTCATAAATCTATTGTTTTCTTGTATAAAGGTCAATGAGATCCCATGCCCCTATGTGTCTCGTGTCCTGCATTGCAGAACAGGAAGGAAGAAAGAAAGAAGGCACACTACATTGATCTCACTATTCAAGAGGACCAGCGCATTCATACGACAAAATAAGCAATAGTCTCAGGTCGATTGGAACGAGAGTTCTTTTAATGTATTCTACCAGTCTCCTTATCTAAAAACTTGCGAATAGTAACTAGAGTAGCGAAAACCCAAGGCATAAAAGCTCCTAGCGATATTTAAAAAGTGATGCTCACGAGAGGAGAAAAATAAATATTTAAACAAGATAACCTTCCAATGCCGTCTAGTTTCTTCGCCTAGCGTACAAAGCACATTGTCCAAATTTGATTTGCTCAAGCTTCCATCAAAATACTAATTGGCGGTGAAATTGCATTAGTCCAGACAGGTTGGCCATTCACCGGAGGATTTGGCTTACAAGAGCATTATATGTTCAACATATAGCCGTGATCATGACGTGTCCAATTCGCGCGTGAAATATTGAAGGTTATTGGGCGTGATACCTGGCATCATATCATCGTGAGTTGAACAGCATGGATCTTGACGGGTTTCTAGAGTTTTAGCTACCGAAATCATGCTTCGTTGTGAATATTCGCATACAAGAAGAGGGTGCTCGCCAGACTAGAACTCGTGCCATTCTTTCCCGCAAAATTGACCGGTTGTTTCACTGCTTTTATGGTTATAGAAGCGTTTCTTGTGGGAAGTATTTAATTCAAATTGAGCCATCTCTCATCGGTGTATATCCCTGCAAGCCACTCTTGGGTGATGCGGTTTATAACTGACTTGGAATGATTATGGGCTTGGCAGGTTAGATGGTTTGCAAGGCACATTAACTTCTTCTTTCCGTGTTGTGGCTGTATTTTCGCCTTTTCGAGCTCATCTAACTCGATTGCAGCAGTTTGTCTAGTCTCGAATTGCACCAAATTTGGACATCGGAATTCGTTAGATGAGCGGGCGATACATCTTTCTTGATATATAGGATTGACTATGCCTAGGCACTGTCTGTTAAGCGTGATTTGGGTATCAAGGACAGCTTTTGCCATGGAGGGCTCAGTTGTATTTGAGGATTGGAACGTTATTAAAGAGTGTCTATTGCTTCTGCATAGTTGGATCAATTGGTTATTTATATTATGAACTTGGCCCAACATCGTCCCGTAAGTTGATATGTTTTGCTTAAAAACTCTCTTCGAAGAAACCACTGTCATTTACGCTTTCCTAGCTAAAATGTGGAGTATACGTTTCTATTCCCTGACTTCACTTATTGTGGAAAAAATACCGCTGCACTAAAAAGGATCAACCCTTAGTAGTAAGGGTGTTATAGCATGTGTGTAAGATCATTGTGCTGTGTGTGGATCTGTGGGTCTCAGACCCGGTTATATAGATACAGGTCTAACCCTAATGCATGAGTAGTGCGTATCAGGATGACCAGACAAAAATAACAATACAGGTGCTCGAACAAAGGGCTTATTTCTAGTGCATATCCGCGGCGACACTTATAAACCATTCCGAATCAAAATTTTTGCCACACAATATCACCTACCATATCCTAGCATGAATGCATCAAACGGCTTATATTCAGAGTAGGCCCACTCTGGCTAGTTATTCATAGGTTCAGGAAACATTTACTCATGCTCATAGTGGATAAGTGGAGTGTTATGCGTCTGCTCTTCATTAGTGGTTAGTATAGACCATCGGCATTATTGTATGTTGTATAGAGTTTCGTCGAATATTCATTGCAAGACACCATCTGCGTATGTCTGAACGTTGAAGCGAGACGGAAGATCGACCCTCGCTCCCTCAACAGCTGATTCTAAATACAATCTCATAGCACTAGGCAAGTTACTTGCTGAAGGCAAATCACTATTATTAATTGGTTGATTTAGAAGCTTCACCACAGGAGTAACCCGTTTGATAAAATTCCCCCCAGGATTTAGAATTAATCGTCAGTTTTAGTTTTATTTTGTAGAGGGGAAAAAGAAGGCCTGGCCTCCAATATTCGTCCCTGAATGATGTGTTCGGGCTGGAACCTGTGTTAAGTGGATAGGTTACAGGCGACCTATTTGCTATTGTTGGAACAATATTGTCAACCAGGCCAGAGAGGTAGAGTATCCTGACCTAATCTACATACCGCAAAGCACCCTGCTTGGCCTAGACTTGGCCTAGACGAGTGGGGGGGTGGACACTCCATCGTAAATAGTTGAGGTCCCCATCAACTTATTAGAGCAAGGAGTGTTCAAAACTATTGAAGATGAACTCTCGTAAATTTTGGAATGGTATTACCTCTACCGACATGTGTTCGTGGCTCTTTACTTCACTACTATCGCGGTCATTTTTTCGCCCTGCCCCAGCCGAACTGGCTGTTCAACTACGAAATTAAAGGCGGGGCTTCAAATAAAAGTGTCCACTTCAAGCATCCACCACCTCAAGGTTAGCCAGTAACGGTGGGCCCATTATATATGCTCCAGCGACATCTTGAACAATAGCTGTTCACCAAAGTATGGCTGTATTCCCTTCTTTTTCTCACGGTTCATTTCTGGCTACAACTAAGGACTTGAGATGCCATTAGCGAATGAGACGTAAGTGAGTAAGACACTGCATACGGTCCGTCACGGCTAAACTGCGTTTGTTCGCTATGAATAACACAGAGTACCCAGAAAAAATATCCGTGCAGTATGCTCCATTCGGAATACAGTCAGCTTACTAGTTATCTAACTACCTCATAATAACTCAATTTCCATATTCGACCATCGCGGCATTCATGTTCGAGAATGATAGACCACATGCACGTTTCGTCTTCAAAATTAAACATCCTCGATAGGTCCATCCGGGGCAGGCGTTGGAATAATCAAAAATGGTGCATATTTTGGAGTATGTAGAGTTTCCTTGTTCCCCGGTGTTGGTATCACCAGCTAGGTCCTGTGTACACAGCTAAGTGAACAGTATGTATACTGTAAGCAAAAGTCAATTCAATTCAATGTAGGATAGATAGTTGTTCCTTTCTCGGTCTGGTTGGAAGTTATCCCTAGATCCTACACGCCGGCCCTTGGCGGGAACAACACCGGAGCTGCAGCTCCGTGCAAGAATGCGTACACCAAGCAAGGGATATTATCCCTCGTTAGATAGAAGGATATGTTCCGACACCCGGGCAAGTGCCGGGCCACATTTGTGAGAGAAGACAATACGATTGCTGTAACAATTATCGCAATATTAAAAATTGGGCATTGTATCTCAATCAGGTCCATGACGACCCTGTCGTGTGGTGTAGTTCTAGTGAGGGAGCTGTTTGTCTGGGATCAGATGATACGTATCTGAAAGATGAATGCATTTTCTTGCGGATATGTTTCCATTCTCAACTTAATCTGCTTGATATCGCGAATGTTTCTCCTTCCCACTCTCGAACATTGCCAATAATTCGGTTTAACACACTTACGATTGAGACCTGTACGCATCATCTAAACCCGTATGGTATAATACATGTAATACATATCCATAAAACCGCCCGACAAATAATTGATATCTGCTGCTGTTAGAGACTCATACCACAACAGCCCTTCAGATCAACCCTTTAAAAGTATGGTATAAGGTACTGAGCCCGCACGATCACGTCCTAGCCCATATCGCCCCGAGCTTGTCCATCGGGAGGTTTCCTATCCATGGCACATTTATGACACTTGTATGCGCATCGTGTGCTCCAAATCCTGCGGACCGAAGAGCCTGAATGAGCTTAGGCTCCTGAATCTTTCTAGTCCTGGTTGAAGTCAGTTATGTGATGGTTATTGCCACACCTTTAAATGCGGTGCATTAAATGACTTACCGATGAAAATCATATTGTTCCCCTACCCATAGGCTTAGCTTCCCCAGTATATGCATGAGTATCAGGTAAGTGGGCACAGGCCATGATCCGTGGCAGTGGCCGATGGAAATAAGTGCGGCGCCGAATACCGACTGAGCGTACACAAAGCGCGAATTGACATTCTTTATAAAATCTCTCGAAGGTCCCATAGTCCCAAGAAGAAATATAAGTGCACGGGTATAGACAAAACCATGCAAAAGCATTACCGTATCGTGGTAATGAGCAGGGTCTTGAGTGTGGTACGCTCGCAGGACTAGAATAGATCTCATGATGGAGCCTGCTTGGTATGCCGGTCCTATTTTGAGTTAAACGGCCATGTTATTTTGGGCAGTGAAGAAATATTTAAACTCAGAGCACCTACGTGTGTGCGGAGGATATCCATTGGGAAGTGTCTTGACCAATACTAGGGACGTCCAGGAGTGCAACCAGCATGCCAATATTGCTGCTCTTGAGCATTTGACACATCCGTAATAGAGAACCAGCTCGCATGTACCCGATAGTATATGAAAGAACAACACTTAGAAATATTAGCTTCGACACGAACTGTTCTGAAGTTGTTTGCCAAACCTGGGTGATTCGGCCTATATATTCGACCTTTATTTAGCCCGTGGTATAGGAAAAAGATGGTATATAAGCCAAGAATGACATGTTTAGAATCGTTACCGCGCACGTAAGAAGCGTCCATTGTGAGATGGTTTCTATTGCAATACATACTAGATTCTGGAGCTGTGCAAGCATCGCCATGATTTTATATTCTTGGTCAAGCGTAGGGTACTGTTTATTTCTATGTTAGATTTGTTTCCTTGTTTACCTCAGAATGAAGGTAAAAAATTATTGTTATTCAAAATAGTACTACTCCCTTCAAGGAAAGTGGGGATTTTGTGCTCCTCCCAATCCGCCCTTAACGACACATTTTCCTTGGCTCGTGTCCAACCCATTTGCGATTGAACATATTGTTCATATGTTGATGTATTATAATAGAAGCTGGAATCGCCAAGTAAGCCTTTAATAGCTCAATTTCCTTACCTGTGGAGGAATACAACACGGCCAGGCTGGAGGCTTGGGCAAGAAACCCTTTCAACAAGCTCAACGCTCAATATTTTTGATCAAACTCTTGGAAAAGAATACAGGGCTTATGAAGGATGGCCACTGAGGAAAATCCCTACAAGAATATGCTCGGCTCCTGTTTGCCCAACCGGATATTTGCCAGATGACATGAAGGGAAATTATGCTGAAAGGTTTGTTCGGTTACGAGTATTAAACGTTGGAGATGTGTACATATTGTATTTCTTGAAAGGAGAATTTACCGAAATTCCACTGAATGATGATTTGTCCGGCCAAGACTCTGGACGTAAAAAGAACGTGTTGGTGATATAAAGGCCATCGCCCAAAGACGAAAATCAGTTTATTTTATATTGCTAAGATCCACGAGTCTGATTTGCTTTCAATTAGCATGTCGGCATATGCATCGTCAGGTCAGGAACAAGCAACCAAATTTCTTGACGCGCCTTCTTCATGGAATCATGCTCGTGGCCAGATATTCATATGTTGTGCCAAGCCGTCTTCCGGCAAATTGGTTCCAGCGTCCTACCATGACCTTGAGAAGGATACCTATTTCTCACAACAGGAATTTACGGGAGGTTTACAAGTTTGTGTCATTGTGCGCTATACAGAAAGCCCCATTGGTGAGTCATTTGAGGGTTCTAGATTGATGGATGTGACTAACTCTGACACAACATGAAGGTGCGTATGATGAAGTTTTATGGATACCAGGCACATTCAAGCTTCCGGGACCTGATCATGAAACGTACCGAGCAACGAGAGCATACGTGTCTACAGTAGACTCCGTGTATAATGGTTGGTGTCTACGGCTGGCACGTTTCAAGCGCCGCAAAATACCGCTATAGCAGACAAGTTCGGGCAATGGCTAACATTATTTGCTTACTTAGGACGCAAGAACTGGAACGTCCCGAAAAAAGTACGTAAACTACATTGGCCTGACGAGTTTTACCCCTTGGGCTACGCTGAACATGGAATCTTGGAAAGTGCGCGAAGTTCGAGTTCACCCCTTCCGAGGAAGGATCACATCTTCCATATAGTCGCATCACAATTTCGCCGTGCGACCAACAGGAACCATTTATCCAACTGAACCTGGAGCCGACACTATCCAAATTCCTGCCCTTCTTACCTATCGACACCAAATTCGTTCCAATAGGCCTTAATTTCGACTTCCCTCCTCTTCCAGAAAGTCAATGTGGTAAAGATGATGGGCTAATTGGGACGAGTAACTGGCAGCGTGTCCATTTGAGACTCTCCGGGCGGGCCGGAATCGTGAAGGCAACTGGGTCTGTCGTAGGTGACGGGAACTTTTACCCGGAACTCGGGAACAAAAAGTATTGGTTGTGGTTGAGAGACGCCACAATTCAAATCCAGGGCAAGCCCATCTATCTAGGTAAACAAGTATCCTAGAAAGCTCTATTTTCCGGGTTGAGTTAATATGTGATACATGCTGATGAATGGCATGTTAAAAATCTGTCGAGGATGAATAATATATGAAAGAGATGAAAGGGGTCCTTATAGGTTTATATTTGTTCACTAGCTACCACGAATAAGCCTTGGAAAGGTAGTAGGTGACGCCCCTTCTACCATTACTGTCTCATCCATTGTAAGCTATCGTTTTTGCACTAGTAAGGTCGAATTTCACATCTGAAGACATCTCATAATTATCTCCAATGACAGCGTTCAGCTTTCAGTAATTCAATTTATAGGTGTTGGAACGATGTTGTCAACCAGACCAGAGAGGTAGAGTATCCTGACCTAATCCACATACCGCACAGCACCCTGCTTGGCCTAGACTTGGCCTACCATTCCAAATGGCATACCAAGGGATCAGGAATGCATAGGTGTAAACAAGTGGAACTATAAATAGCTAGACAGATTGTAGTTTAGAAATGACACTTCACTTTTACCCACCGAGCATATACCTACATTCCATTGAATCGATAGGATATCTGCTTAGGGCAATGACCAAGTCAACCGACAATAGGGTCTCGTCAGCTTTTATCAGATTACCCTGTTCTCCTAGCCACGAGTAGGCGATATATTACAATTCAAAACAGGCCAATCAATGCTGAAGAGAATGACACCAAAAGATATTTTTTTTAGAAGAAAAAAGTGCTCTGAAAGGAAGTACATACGATGCGACGACCTTTGACATGTGGGAAGGAGAAATACAGGGAGCTAAAAAGTCGGCTAGATTCAAGTGCACCTGCACCTTGTGTGGACGGTTTCTGTGTACATGGTAGAATTGATCCCATTATTTTTTATTGCAGTCCTCTTAACTTTCTATTGCCCACGAGCGCAATCCTAAAGAACGTAGGAGCTTGGCTTCCAGCAGCCCAAGTTTACTACGAATGGAAGAGATGGTAGCCAGAAAGAGGTTAATGGAATATATTCTAGTAGACCTTGGACAGCGACATTGCTTTCGCAAACAAGTGTATGAAATTCCGAATCTCTGTTCAACTTTAGCTATCTCGAATCAAGCAGTGTTATTTTAGCACAGTACAGTAATGCTTGCCAAAATTCTCCCTAGATAGCAGGGACTTGCGCTCCCAAGGGTACTTCGAAAAATAATCACTCCAGCAGTGAAGGTCCCAGGGCTGTATACTAACTATTCAACGAGATCACATATAGATTAGACTAGACTAGTGAGAAGTTTACTATATTACTATATGTTTGGGTTTAAATATACTCGTCACAAATTTCCAGTCACAACTGCCCCCCCCAATGCAGTAACGCTTTTAATCTCTTCCCACCCCTCCATTCCGTAATGGCGTGTTGTAGAGTAGGACATAATATAAAATTAATCCTGATTTTAGCTAAACTAGTTTGCTCTATTTGTGCGAGTAAGAGCCAATAGAGTCACAGAAAAGGCCTGATAATAGATATCAATAACTAGGGCTGGATCCCTAGTTCTACATCCTCCCGTGATTCGAAAGTAGCCCTTGCTTTCTAAATTGCGTCAGAAAGGACCCCCCTCTATAATGAATCAAGTTGAAACAAGCAGGGGCGACGAAGCTCTGGGCCTTCTGAGCTAATTTTATTTGCGTCCAGTTGTTATATGTGGTGTCTTGCTTGTGTATTCCGTCCTGATTATCACGGACAGCCTTTTATGCCTGAAGTATGCTATCTAGAATTATAAAAGGATATATAGTCAAGCTGATTCTGCCCATACAGCCGAAGAGGTCTACAAGCATTGCAAGATACCAAATATTAGCAAGATCACATTTCGAATCACCAATCGTCCCACAATGAGCAAGGGAAATAAAGCCCAAACAGAGCTATATGTAGCGCTCGTTGATAATGGCCTACTGAAGCACACAGGAAGAGATGGAATTCCTGATAATATGAGGGAAGGGAATACAAAGATTTCTCCCAATCAGCTCCAGGCTTTGAATGGAGCGATTGACCAAAGCCTCGAATCTTTCCAACAGGCAGCAGAGCCTGGATTAAAAGATGAATTCAGAGACAAACCTGAAGAATTGAAAAGGCATCTAATTGGCTTATGGAAGATCGTCGACTACAAGAAACCAGAGAATTCAGGAGTCCTTCAGCAGAGTACGTACCCTAGGAACCATCTAGCTGACAAAGGATAACCTGGCTTTGCTTAGAGATCAAGGTGGTTGCGGAAAGCTCGCAACTTGACATCAACTGGGACAACATCGCGAAAGAGACACAGACAGAGATAATTAAGGAGGAGCAGCAGGAGCAGCAGGACAAAGAGCAGGACAAAGAGCAGGACAAAGAGCAGAACAAAGAGCAGGACCAAGAGCAGGACAAAGAGCAGGACAAAGAGCAGGACGAAGAGCAAGACAAAGAGCAGGACAAAGAGCAGGACCAAGAGCAGGACAAAGAGCAGGACAAAGAGCAGGACAAAGAGCAAGAAGAAGAAAGGGGAGAAGAACAGGAAAGCCAAAGCAAAGAAAATGGAAACTATTCCGAATACGGCTCATGGAGGGGTCCTGGGAGAGAACGTTCAGCTTCGCCCATGAGCGAAGAAGCCCAGAAAACACTTGAGTCAATTCTGCAAGCCAATTATGAAGGCGCCATTGTGGCTCTGCGCCGATATCTGGTTTCCGAATTCTCTGAAACGAATGAGGCAGAATTGAACAAGATAAATGACAGAATATCCGCGGAAATAGTGGACAAACTGACATGGGATGCTGATGCAACTCAAGGATTTTGGATACCATATAAGGCCATTGCAGGTGTGCTGGGACCCGCATACGCGGAAGCAATCAGACGACTTGAGAAAAGCCCCCATGATGAGACTGCCCACCAAAACATCCGCGAAGCGAAGCTTAAATTATATCATATTTGTCTTGACAGAGGCTTTCAGCCAGCATGGTTCGAAAAGCTCTTCCCAAATACGTACCATAATATACCTACCGGACCTAAACGTCGGTACGCGGATGAAAACATGGATGCGACCAGCTACTGGCCGTATCACTATCAGAATAATGGCACCGAAATTGTCCTCTTTGAGAAAAGGAAGAATATCAACAACGGAGTCAAAAGTTCCTTCGGAGTCCAGATCTACGATGAGGACGAAGGAAAGTACAAAATCGTGCTGAAACCCAGCATTGCTAACCTTGATGGATGGAGAATGAGCAAGAATGCCTTGAAATTCGACGCCTCCGGGAGAAGATTCAACAAGAAAGAGTTCATCGATGTGGACTGGATTTATTTCTATACCACTGTGCCTATTAGATCGGCCAATGCCTTGAAGAACAAATCAGATGCCACAACGGAATTCTGTGTCAAATTTCATGGATCAATCATTCCCAAAATCATCACTCGGACTACGTTGCGTGCGTTCTGGCCAGAGGATGCTATTAACAAAGCTATTCAACATATGAGTAAAAGAGATGGTGTAACTTTGCCGTGGGAAATGACTGCCAACAATATTTATATCCCTATGAACGATTCCCGCGGTGCCAAAGTTGGAGAGCGAAAAACAAACATGCAAGACCTGGTAAAAACGCTGCATGGTCTCAAGATTTCTACGGACGGAGCCATAAATGGGGGAATAGCTTCACTTGGGTCGAAATTGGGAAGCGACGAACTGTCTTCCATCCGCAAAGAGATGGATTCCAGAATTGGAGCCATTGATTCAAGGGTAGACAAGATCGAGAACGATGTGACAGACATCAAAGAACAAATGGTCACCAAAAACTATATGGATGTGCAGTTTGAGAAGATCATGAATATGATGGCATCAAGGTTCTGACATAACATAAAGGAGCAAGGTAGCCAGGTCAATTGAGATGTGTCAATGGCTTTCTTTTACAGAATTTGTGTGGGGTTTGTCTCTCAATGGCATTATGTATGTAGTTCTATCCGCGATTTACTGGATTAATGTCCGCAGCCAGCACAGTAGACTGTAGAATCCCATACGAAAAATATCTTATCCATTCATTCTCCTGTTACTGTGTCTTTGATTCTTACCGTATATGGAACGGAACGTTTTACATGAGTGTCATTGCAATTATTATGCACTGTAATCGAATTTTTGGCAGGCCTTTGACGTACACAGTACATAAACCGTAGGAACCTAATACAACTAAAAAGATTAGGCTTCTGTGGGGATGCTTTGGTCTAGTCATTGTGAGATACAGTTAGACGTTGACAACACTACAAAATCCAATTGATGAAATCAGTTTATTAGGTCCAGAATACTTTGAAATTGTTTCATTCCCATGGGCTTCGGGGAAAGGAAATTATCGACGAATCCTCTTGGTGATGTTGGTCGGATGATGGTGCGCAGCCGGAGGCCACTCGTGCAATTTGGTGGGTTGTAGCAGAGGTTTCTGCAAGGATATCTAATCAGATAATCCTGTTCCGACTTTCATTCCCCGCGACTACCACATTTTTGCCTGCCCCTCCCTAAATTCAACCGAGTTTCTACAACTTGGGCCTTTTGGTTCTCGCCTAATATTGGAGCGCAAAGCTGCTTGTTCATTTTGACGAATATCAAGCACTGATGCCTAATCGGCTGCTAATTTATCACGCGTCCAACCTTCGATTCATTTTGTCGCCGCGTATATACACTAGAAAAACCCTTACTACTAAGGGTTGACCCTTTTTAGTGTATCGGTATTTTTCTGCCACACATTTCTACCTCGGATCATATGACAGCCTTTACTACTCACCTGAGCAACTCAGAGTTGTGCATGACTATCCTTTTCTTCAATTTTCTATGGGTAGATGAGCCATAGTCATATACCAAGCCGAACTTAAATTTTCGCATGTATACGAGAGATTGCGATCGAGAACAGGGAGCTTTCACCCGTGACCGTACTCTCTTTTTGCTACAGTGTTAGGTAGTCAACCAGACCCACTAACTAACAACCCGCATATCTCATTGTGTTTCCCCCGTCCTTCTACGGAAACATCGTCATATTTTGCCCATTAGAAATATCATGTCAAAAATGATGTCCACTGTAACTTCATTCAATCTTTTTTGCCCGCCAACGGTAATTGTTCAAGACAAAAAAGAACCCTTCATCTTTATCATGCTTAAGGTCAACATACACACGGCTTCCTGAGCTAGTATTATAACTCCATTTCCCACGCGACTTGTCAAAATGAATGGAGATAGTACCCCCTTTCCATGGAAAGTTGGCGTAGGATTCAGGTTGATCTTCTATAGCCAGATGTCTCGTACCAGATTCTATACTGGCGACAGAAGATTTCTTTGGTTCTCTGTAGGTTGAACTGCGGGTTTGAATTTGGCGTTCCGGGACTTTCTGACGATGTGAAAGCATTCCTGGGTTTGACGTTTCGCTTTGATCAATGTCTTTGCCGTATCTTTCTTCATTGGTATTCTCATCTCCCTTAACGTCGTTCTTATCACCATCGCTCTCCTCACCATCAGTAGACTCCTCACTGGAAGACTCGTCACTGGAAGATACCTCCCCCCTATGCGAATACAGATGCAACAAACCATTCAGGAAACGGCCATTCGGATCCAAACCGGGCCGGCCAT